ACACAACATTGCAAGCTTTTTCGTTTATTATCACTCCTGCCAACAACAATAGCTTTGTTTCAATGCTTTGAACTACTGCTGGATTTCTACGTTTGCAAAAACAGATGTGCTGAGGAGTAATACAAACAGTAAAAACTTCCAGTACTGATGTATGAAATGTCAGAAATTTAGAAACACAGCTTGTATAAACAAATTACTGTACAAACACTAAATGTATCAGTCACAAAGGAACAGTTTAAAAAAAAAAAGAAGAAATGGAAAGCAAATTTGCTGTTAATTTACTCGCCCTTAGGCCTTCCAAAATAAGTAAGTAAATAAATATATTTGGGTGGTAGTATTTATTTCTATATAAAAATATATTGACCCATAAAAAAAAATCGGAAATATGGTTGTAAAACATCCCAGTATGACAGCAGGTGTCTCTCCGAGAGCACAAGCCTGTAAACAGGAGAGGCTATTTGTGGTGTCTGTGGCCCCCAACAGACAGACACTGACTCACTGGCCCCTCTCTGAGACTCTACTTCAATCCTGCCTCTCCCAAGCACAGCAGGACTGACAGATGAGCGTGGGGGAGGCTTTTGGAACAGTTACCATCACTACACACATGGCTCACGATTCCCTCACATCTTTCAAAAACATGCCCGCATCCACTCCAACTACACTTGGCATGCTGTTAGATAATTAGAGCTGGTCGCAGGGCTTACAAGGGGCCCTTGGGTGAAAGGGCCCGTATGGCTGTATACAGACTAAAGGGTGAAAATTAAAGAGAAATTAGTGCTGGGCGGTATGACCAAAAATTTATATCACGGTATTTTTCAAAATTATACCGGTTTCACGGTTCATGACCGTATTTTTTTTTTTCATGGATGACCGGGTGCTAACCATATTTTCTACTGATTGAGAGAGGAAATACTGCAGTATATTGACTTAGAATGCCCTATTTTACTGTCATGATGAGTGAATATTGTCAAAAAATACCACACTAAATAGTGACTAAACACGACCCCTTTTAATACATGTTAACCAGGAGTCACTCTATCGTCTGATAAAATCAACATGCATCTACACTAAAGAGCGGCTATGCGGTTGTTTTGGCTATATTACTTTTTTGTCTCATGCAGCGCACTGCCTGCGTCTGAGTAACAAACTAAAAAAAACAACAAAAAAAAAGTGCATGTGATATTAACAGACGAACTACGCTCATATTTATAATTCCAAACAATCAGTAAGCGACAGGTGCTAGGAAACGCTGTTTTGTACTCATTTATTGACGAGTCAGCTGCGGTGCAGCCAACTGAATGCGCTGCTTCTCTGCCGCTCACTGCACAGAACAGACGCCGAGAGAGGCGACACTTCTCCGGGAAAGTCAGACCTCGCGTTCGCGGGACAGCACTGGCGAAATCTTCCAACTGAACCATAGCTAGGGTTTATCCAAAAAAGTCGCTAGGTTTGTCAGTATGAATATTGTATGGAAAAAAAGCCGCTAAAAGGGTCTGAAAGTTGCTAAATCTAATGCTAAAGTCAGGAGGAGCAGGAGCTGATGGCAGGGGGCGGTGGATATTTGTGGCGGTCAATGTGGATATTGTGGATGAGTCTGTGTCATCACGTTCTATTAGTTCTACAGCTTCAGTTTCGGAACTTTCACGCTTAGTAACACATACAGCTGTTCCCTCACCACAGTGCAACAGTGAAAACGGACCCGTTTCAAACAGTGTCGCGTTCCGAACGTTGTTTAAGCGACATACACCGGTATTGTGGTATTTTAAAAATTCATATCATAACAAAAATAAACACCGGTATTCGGTATGAACCGGTATACCGCCCAGCACTAAGAGAAATTGTAGTGTTTTTCAATAAATAATGAAAAACTAGGACAAACTATATACTATATTGCATGAGCTTAAGTATTTGTCATTATACATTGATCTATCGTTTTATTATTAGTAGTAGTAGTAGTAGTAGTAGTAGTAATAGTAGTAGTTTTGCAATTGAGAGAAAAATGAAATGTATAATCATTAGAGACAACGAAATGTAACCTACATTATTATTAGCCATTCTTCAATCTGTAAATGGAAATATGTGGTGAAAATATGATTTGATGCCTTGCAAATCAGTAATTAGTACTTTGTCAAAAGCACTCATTGAAAAAGCACAGTATCATCTTGTAAACACAGCTTCGTTTCCAGGCAGACTGGTACACCCAGAAGATGTGTAATCAAGCCAATCAGATTGAAACAGATTATTTTAGAAGCCCTTGCATTCTTGTGAGCAATATGTTTGAGACGGTCAGTGAACAGACTGTAGGCGTCTGAGGCTGAGACTACCATGAAACATGTCAGAGCTTGTGCACTACCCGCTAGGACACGTCTCCGACCCACATATTCTTTATTCATGGGTTTTCATCTTCACTGTATATGAATAATATACTCGATTCAGTGTATAGAACCGATGAACAGTGACACTGATCTGAATGCATTCTAAAGAACCTTGTGATTCTTGAGATGCTGCATACATCCACACAAACAAGGGACACTGCACAAAACAGGCATTCATATAACTATAAAATGGAGCATGAACTCAATGTTTTATTACACTCAGGAATGAGAAAGCAGACAACAAAAGAGGCAATTTAGAGGCAACGTTTCAAATCTTTCTCCTTCGGTTTGTTCCTCTGCATGAAGTCTGTCTTGAACATTTGTAGAGTACGGCATAACAGCCTGCCTTAATTTTCTTTTTGTGTTTATGAATTGTCTGGCTGCAGTTCGGTTTTTTGCACGCTCCGAAAACCATCTTAGATTGCAAATCGAGCCCAATTCATGCAGCGTCTCGACAATAAGGCAACATATCCCATCTAATTGCCAGACATCAAAAGAGACGTGCAAATGAAGTGATATTTCTATTACTATGCTATTGTGCAAGGTACTTAAAACACATGATAAAGTACATGGTACTTAAATACATACAATGGTGTGAAAGTTATTCTTTAGTAGAGCAGAACAATGCCATGTCGGAATGAATACGTCAAATCATAATTGTGATTTGCAAACTCGTAAGTGGGACTTCTTAGCCCCAATACTCTCTTTTCCCTACAAAACAAAGCTTTTCTTGGGCACATTCATGCCACATCACTTTGTTTGTTCTCAATGATCGACTACCTAGCCATTGAGAACCAAACGTCTGTCTGCCTTGAATACATCAGCAGACCCCTGAGGTCTTTTACCATCACAAAAACACCTTGTACCGCATCTATCAACCACTGAGGGCCGCTTCCATCAAACAAGTCAGAAGCCATGCCATTTCCCAAGAGTCATATTTTATCACCTCTTATCTTCAAAAAATATTAACTAACTGTCAAAGGGCGATAAATGGTATCACCATGCCAATCTTCAGAGCGCTCTTGGGAAGAGCAACACTTTATCTGGGGTCGTCTAAAACTTTATGGTGCTTACAGCAGTTTGAAAGTGCTTTCTAAGGTGTTTCTGGAAGCAGATGGATATGTCATGCTGTAGAGAGTGCGGTGAAGACGTCAGCAGGGACGCCATAATAAGCAGTTAGATGCTTCGCTGGTTCTTGGGTCAAAGTTATCAAAAGGTGCAGAGCAACTTCCGGCTCAAATTGATGGTTGTCTGGAAACATATACAGGAGAGACTAAGCTATTAACCTTAGGGTTCCTCTTCCTGTCTTCCTGCATGTTTCCTTCACTTCCAGAGTATTGTTTTTGAAAAATGAGCAAGCTTAGAGCCAGGAAACCAATTTTCCAGAACAATGTTGTATTGGGGGACTTTTGACAGTGAGAAGCTTAGTCTTTGCTAAACGCTCCGTGAAATATTTTGCCTGAGGAAGAGTGACAAGAAACCTGTCGAAAATGCGAGTCTCGACAATCAGTTATATATATGAAACTGGCGAAGATGATGAGAAGTAATGGGTTGTGTATTAGAGGGACCCAGAGGATTGTGAGAGTGTGTGTGTAGAACTACTTGTAGACCTTTGGCAGTGGTTTCAGAGGATAATGCAGGCTGACAGTAGTCAAAGCCTGTGCAACAATAACCGAGGGACAGAGACAACTTACACAGGCGATAAGACACACACATACGTAAAGAAAATGTGTGCTATAAGCAAGATAAAGACATTTATACATACATAAATATTCTAAAGGCGCAGAAAAAAAAAAAAACTAAATTCAAGGACAGAGATACACCCACTATCTTTAATTCATGAGGATGAGTAATGTCAGGTTTATAGTGTGCACTCAAGCATAATGCATACACAATGAACAGGATATTCAAACTTTGTGAACTGCGTTCAGTTACGAGACATGCAAGAACCACTTTTGGTGTCACTGACATCAAACCTGACACAACATGATGACTATTTTTGATCCAAACGCATGACTTCAGAACACTGATATAGGAAAAGTATATAGCCAAATCATATGGATTATGTTTGCAGTGATTTTACAGTAGTTCCATTTTTGCCTCTACTTTACAGGACAGTGGAAAAGCAACAGGAAAGTAACAGAAATTAGACGCTTTCCCTTTAAATGATAAGCTAATCACAACTAGCTTTCAAAAATAAATAAATTACATATATCATCATATGCACTAAGCAGAGGTCATCTATAAAATCACTTCACAATTCATATTAATGAATTTTAATCCAAGCAATTAAGGCGTATTCAGATTCCCATTAACACAGGTCAATGCGATATTAAAGCTAGAGAGAGTAAACATAACCTGTGTACGAAGTATCAGTAAAGGCAAATGCATACTTGGACGATCACAAGGGATGGGAAAAAACAGCACCACCAGGGGAGCCTCTGGCAAACACTTCCCTTTCATAATCTCCGACTTCAACCAATCAGTAATCAGAAGAACACCCCTCCAGAGTGCCCCTCCTCCAAAACTCCATGCCTGTCTGTTTATAGAGCGCAGAGAGATGAGAGAGAGACGGAGAGGGAGTGTAGTACACACTCAATCTCTGCAAAAGAGCGACAGAGAGGAAAAGGAGGAAGACCCGTAAAATTCAGAGAGCAAATCGGAGGAAATGGAAAAAAGGATGGATGCTGAGGAGGAAAAATTTTGATCAGAGACCAGGATCTGGAAGTGGTACCAAAAAGATCATGATCGTTCTTTGTGCTTTAATCTTTTCACCAGTTTCTCTAGATGCCACGTGGACACTGGAAGCTTAAAAGTCACCGAGAGTTAGCAGCCCTAGATGTCCTTTGTCATTTGAACAAAATGAGCAGACAAAATGTATGTCTAAAATTTAAGGACTACTTTCTTCTGGTTCTGGAGCAACATTGACAAACAATTGTGCCGTGTCTGTATCTTCTGGTTTAAACAAACATCAGATTGCTTGTATTGTGGACCAGTGCTCATGTGACACGTTGTGCGCCTGCTGTTCAGCTGAGGGCAAGATTATACTAACTGAACTGGACAGGATGCTGACTTTCTCAAAAACATCCTCCAGCCTGCGGCAGCGAGCTAGCTCTTGATTTAAGACCTCTTCTGTTCCGTCTCAGATGTCAGGACTGCAAAACAACACCAACTGTTAAAAGGATGGTGCACAGAAGGTTGGGCTCAGCCTTGAGGACGGGACAAAAACAACTGCTTTCCCTTTGATGACTTGAATGACCAACTCTCTCTACCTGAGAATGGACTAAAAATCTGGGGCAGCATTCGAAATTCAAACAAGAGTTGTGAGGCGGGATGTTTGGAATAACTGTTGGCAACCTTAAGGTAAAGATAATCTTATTGTCTTCAACTTCTAAGATTAGAATTGTGTAAGTTGTAAGCAAGTTGATTAAATAATAATAGTCCTCGCATTGATGCACTCTCATGTCTTGGGCTGACAGAACAGTGCCAAGTAGGCAAAGAATTATTGAGCAAGATATCCACTGTATTAAATAACTGATGTCTTCTTGTTCTCCTTGTCTTGCAATCCAATTTTTAAGGATAGCAACACCTATCCAAGACGACAGCTTTGACTCAAACATAGAGTGGACCTCTACCCTGGTGAAACTCTGGCTGCTCTGATTCCCAAGCAAAGCATCCTGACGGCACAATGCTGTGTGCTCAGGGTGTGGCCGCACCCCTAATGCTGAGCTCTCTTCTGCTGCAGCTAGTCAGAGCCAATCTCCCTTCTGGCTGCCTGATTGCATCCGATATCCTGAGCTGCACCAACCTTGGCCTCGACCAAGTCCCGGTAGAGTTGCCTGTAATGGTTGCGACTCTGGACTTCAATCACAACCGCTTAGAACATCTTGAGGAGGGTAGCTTCGCTGGTCTGCCCAATCTTGACACCGTACGGTTAGCCCACAATCAGCTGAGCAGACTCACTCCTGGAACCTTCCGGAATACAAGCAACATACGCCATCTGGACCTTTCCTCCAATCAACTGAACATTATAGAGGAGCACTACTTTCAAGAGTTAGTAGGAATCAAGGAGTTACTCCTTTACAACAACCACATAGTGAGGGTAGAAAGCAAAGCCCTGAGTGGTTTGAGTAACCTGCAAAAAGCCTACCTAAGCCATAACAGACTGACAGATTTCCCCTTCTTTTCTATTCAAGAACATCCCAATCTCACAACTCTGGATCTAAGCTCGAACCGTATGCCCAACCTTCCTGTCAAAGACATCGAAGCTCTAAAGGAAAAGATACAGAGTGGGTTGTTCCTGCACAACAATAGCCTAATTTGTGAGTGCTCCATGTACAGCCTGTTTAAACAATGGGAGTACAGAGGTTTTACCTCAGTGACAGATTTTTGGGAGGAGCATACTTGCTTGATTTACGGTGAGCAACGTGCTATGGTGCGTTTTCTTAAGCATGTACGATACTTTGAGAATTGCAAAATAAAACCTCCAGTGAAGAAAGTTAGTATGGAGGCATATGCTGGGGACTCAGTGATGTTAGATTGTATAACATCATTAAAGGGAAAGCATCTCAACTATTCGTGGATATCCGACCGTTACGGATACATTGCTCCTCCTTTTAGTAACAATACGCTGCGAATGCATTCAAATGGTTCTTTGGAAATCTTGGCTCTAGACATAAACGACTCTGGGGTGTACTTGTGCATGGTTCAAAACCATCAAGAGTCAAGCAACGATTCTCTTGAAGTTAATGTAACCGTGCAGATCCGCCATCAAGAGGACGAGCCCTTTAACACTGGCTTTACAACCCTTCTGGGCTGCGTTGTCAGTCTGATTTTGGTCCTTATGTACCTCTTCTTGACACCCTGTCGCTGCTGGTGTCGCAAACAGCCTATACCAGCAACACCGAATCCTGCGAACGAATGCAGTGCCCAGTCGTCTATCCTGACACCCACGCCACCTGCCACTACGGAGGGCCCCGGCCGCAAGGTCAGTAACAACAAGCATGTGGTCTTTCTGGAACCCATCAAGGAGGCACAGAATGGGAGGCTGCAGGCAGCACTGGCCCTTGATTATCCCAAGCTGGCAGTGACGCGGAGTGATGCTGACTCTGTCACTTCTGTCTTCTCAGATACCACTATTGTGCCATAGCGGCTGCTTACTGTCATCCCAATGACCTGCTCAAACGAGCACGTGGGTCCTTCAACGTGTCAGTCTGCAACTGCACAGCTACTCAGGACAGATCAGGAAGATGGCTTGCAAGCCCATAGCAGGGAGCAGGACAGAGCAGATACAATTAGAGAGAAGAAAGATATAAAAACAAAAAGCTATGAATGCCTTGTCTAGAGCCTATAACCCACTGAATACTGCATAAACCCAACTCTACTCTAGAAATAGCATGAATGACATGAAGGAGAATGACAAGTGCATACTGGATTTCTAGTTTTTTATATACTAGAATATAACTAGAATGTTTTTTAGATGTCCTTTGTATTCCTGTGTTTCAGATTGGCAATTTGGTGAGTAGTTAGCAGCAGTAATTCATTTTCAAGGGATCATGCCCGCTTTGCAAATGTAAGGGTTTGGGCAAGAGAAAATGCATCTATAAAAGTGGAGATTGTTGTTTTAAAGAAATTGACTTGCAGTTGTGCAAAGTGGTGCTCCTAACTTATCCGAATGAATGTGGATATCACACAGAGGTCACATCTCATCCTTAGTATAATTATAAATTGAAATGGATGAATTTTAATGAAATGGAATCTGTTAAAAAGTACTTTTCCCCTCTCCCTAAGCATTCCATGTTTCCCCTTGCCACCCACCCCTCCCCTTCCACAAATCCCTACTTTGTCAGCTTCTTAATAAATCCTTTTGCTTCGACCCCAGAGGTAAATGTCTGCCTTCTTATTCTTAATTAAAGTCTTTATGACAAAGGTGAACATTCAAACTATAGAATGTGTGTCCTAGCGTTCCTGCTTTTCTATTCCAGAGTAAAATTAAAATGTGTGTGCAACTGTATGTGAGAACATAACATAATCAAAAGCTGCTGCCAATTTGATCATGACAGAAGTTGTGAGATATAACTGGGATCAAACATAAATGTTTGTGAATGTCATGGCTGCTTTTGACAATTGCATACAAAAATGTCCATATTTGGTTGACAATGGCACGCAAAAGTTTTACTGACAAATGAAGTTGCAGCACAAACCACAAATACTCTTTCTATCTCTGGGACCTCAGGCCCAGAGAAGGGTGAGATTCTGATTAATCAAGTTTGTGTGATAGACTGGAGATATGCCGTGACCTACAAGTTAAAACATACGGGTAAATGGAGAATTTAACAATAGTACATTACCCTTGAGCCGAAGCCCATCTTCCCCAGAATAACTGCATACTAAAGAGTGTGTTCCATCCAAAACTCTTCTGCTGTCACTAAAACCACCATCATCATAACCATCATCATCACCTCACTGTTTTGTGCCACAATTCTAACCATATCCGCATGGATACACATTTTGACATCTAAGGCATGCATAGTCTCCACCTAGGCTCTGGAGTAGAAGAGAGAGACACTTTTTATTTACAGGAATAGTTCTCCTAAAAATGAAAATTCTGCCATCATTTACTCACCCTCACTTCATTCCAGAATGGTATGACTTTCTTATGTGGAACAAAAATGAAGATATTTTGAGAAATGTCTCAGCGTATATTTTTTCCCCATACAATGGAAGTCAACGGTAACCAAAACTGTTTGGTTACCAACATTCTTCAAAATATATTTTTTAAGGTTAAGCAGAAAAAGAAAGTCACACAGGTTTGGAACAAACTGAGGTTGAGTAAATAGTGTATAAGTAAATAAATTACTCCACAATCCTATATTCTTTAGTATTTTAGTCTAGTTTGCTGCAAAATATTCACATTTCAATAGTCATAATATTGTAATATAAAAAATTTTTTTTGTATATAACATGTTATAATGAGAGGTGTAATGATCATAATATTTTAATATAGCGAATCATTTTTAATAAATTATATTTAAAAAAAAATTTTAATGTTTTGTAACAGCATTTTCTGGATTTGGATACAAAGCTTACTATCGCTATTTGCTGAGGTATTTCTTACCTTAAAGCACCAATTATTCATGGCTAATCTTTAGCTAGACAATTTTACAAGGTTTAATACAATGGAAATTTATATACATTTTAGGAATAAAATTGACTTTTCTCAAATGCATTTCTTAATCCCCTGCATCTGACAGCCCATTTCTAAATCTGACTAAAACTGTACATAATTTGCCACACTGGCACATCTTACCCCCACCTTATAAAATAAATAAATAAATACAAAAAATTCAAAGACTTGGAATGTCTTACAATATCCAGATGCTCAAAAATACCAGATTCCATAATCGTCACCACCCTGAATGTATGTTCTACTGGGTCCGTGTCTTTTTAAGCTGCATAAAGCTCCTGTTAAGGGACTTTATGCAGCGGGGTGCAGTTGCTGCCTCTGAGCTGTGTGTGGTCCACCTCATTAGCGTTTTATTTATCACACAGGATCAATACTGTCAGAGAACAATATGTCAAAACTGTGACAGCACAAAAAAAAAAGCACATGAGAAACCTCATATGAGCCCGGGGCTAACTGAAACCCAAGGTTTGTGTGTAAGAGGGCTTTTTCGATATCAGTTTCATGTACATGCGTGTGTATTGTAAATAGTCCATCATTAGGAAAATAAGATGATACGTAAAGTAGCATAAAAAGGCAAGCAATATAAACTAAAACAATATTCTTTCTGTGAAAAGGCATTAACAAGGAAGTTTACAACATATATTCACAGTATGAACTTATCAACCACAAGCCAGGACATCATTCTATATTACAGGTGAATGCGTAAAGGGAAATCCTATAGTCATAAGATCTGCTGAGCTGTAATGCTGGTCTAAAAATGTTCTTCCTCGTGCACCATACTGAGCTTTAGATGTCTGTGTGGGAAGACCAATAAGGGCTTTTGTTTGAGCCTCGAGCATTAAAGGGTTCCAAGACATTTTCTCTTTACCATTGCTGCTATAGGACACGTAGCTTATTGGTCCACATTGGCGACATGTTGGAAACAGATGATATCTTGATACAATATAAAAGGTTTTAGTAAAAAGGCCTTTTTACACCAAATTTCCATTTTTTTTTAAGTGAACAAACAAAATTTTAAGATGAAACAAAATAAATGCATGGATTAAGCGAAGACGTTTGACTGTATTAATTAGTTAAGGTGTAAAACATATTTAATGCACATAAAGTGAAGGGTCCATAAAGTCCATAAAGGGTGGGGTAATTTTAGTCTACATACAATGCATATTATATATTTGGTGCATTTGGTATTATATAATTTTGTTTCTGTTAGTCGCATTGCACTTGGTGCGAACAGTCCATCACAGCTTTATTATTAAGTGAAAATGGATCTTTTCTTTTTAATTAACTTCTTTCAGATAATTTATTGCAGAAAGGCCTTAATCAGCACTACACTGAAAATAAACACACTGCTTTAGTCTCCCATAATGCAGTCACATCAGCTCGGCTTTAATTTCCTGGCTTTTCTGCAAGATTTCCACCATTAAAGCTCAGCAGGACAAATCCAACAGTTTTGCCCAACAGCCTGTGAACATGTAAATGAGGAATGTGTAATTGATTAGCTTGACTCTTTTCCTGAACGCTTTAAGCGGAACTCGAAGCATAATAAAAGAAAATGCATTTGAGAGAATGAAATGGCTTATTTAACTACTGTGCCTGAGGTGTAACCTTAGCAATCATGACGAATGGCAAACCATCATCATAATCAAAAACAATTTGCACAAAATGCATTTGCATTCTGCCATGCAAATACGTTTAAGGTATTTTACATTAAAAAAAAGAAAATAAATAAACAATTATATACAAATTCAGAAAATGATTGCTTTGGGTTAGGTTTGAAAAGCAGATCCCTGTGAAGAACGACAGATAAATCACCCTCCTTTACAACATCTTTCATTTCCTGCTGTTCTGGCCCATCCATTTCATAGGTATTTCATCACAGCTCGACAACAGTCCTTCGATTACCAGCAAACAAATTTAGAGCGCTCATCAATCAAGAATATTTACAGTTCTGATGAAACTTGCAAGCACGCCAGACTAATAAAGAGCCGAGATTGGCCTCCTGCAAACACTGTCTGGACAGATTTAGGCGTAATCTACATCTAAAATCAATCCGTCACTGCGGTTGTTTTTCAGTTGTTCTTTCATTCTGGGAACTGCGAGGATGAAAGGAAAGCTGTGATTAATTCTACCTTAAGAAAACAAGCAGTTTTGTTGCGGTGTGTTTTTTTCACCCCTTGTTCTGTAAGCATATTACACAGTTTTAAAAAAAATATATATAAAGCATTAAAATACCAGTTAAACCCCAATCATAAAATATGCATCAAATATATAATACATAATTTAGAGCCACCTCACTTAAACATTGCTGTTTCATTGTGCATCTATTTTTCTGTTGGTTGCGCAGTGAAGATGTTAAATGAGAAAGCACTTTCAAATCAAACAGCTTTATGCTGGTCAAAGTAGCAAAAACTATGTTGCGACTATGTTGCGATTCCTATTGAAATGACTGGATTTGGTCGGTGAAAAATTGCAATGCTAAACAATGGTAAATGTGACCATAACTTTACAAGAACAACATACTTTCAAATGAGTTAAAGTAACATTTATATACAGTATAGTCAATATAGTCATATTCTATGGAACACAAAATTAGATGTTTAGCAGAATGTTTATGCTGCTCTTTGGCATATGACAAAAGGACAAAAAAGATAAATATCTTAAAATTGGTCCACACAAATCGTGTACTACACTAAGTATTTTAAAATCATATAATAGGCTGAAATTTAAGCTCTTATTTAGTGAAAATCTTGCTTGACTCCCATTGTCACAAAAGAAAGAAAGAAAGAAAGAAAGAAAGCTTAAGGAATCATTACGGATTGACTTTCGTATACAATCAGGAGTCACATTTCTTAACGTCCTAATTCCTTACATCACTGAGGGAAAGCTAGCATAGTCACAGAGGACAGACTCTCTAAAATATGGCTTTAGAGTAAAGGTCCGGCATCCTTCATTAACAATTTATAACGTCTCTCTGACTTCAGCATTTAAAAAAGCCCAACAATCTGAAACGTATTCATCATGAAGCTAAAAATAAAATCAAGGGATGGCAAATCGCACTACAAAGTTCGTGACTAGGTCATGTTGGTAGTTTCTAAAGCTCAGAAAATGTATTTAAAATATTTAAATAAAACAA